TGGCGGACTTATCTGTTTTAATGAACGCGTGTTGCCCGTAACGCGCGATAATTATTTTCTTTTCGACAAATTCGTGTTACAATTCGAGGACTAATGACTTGCTGAAGCGAACGGCTCGAGTTTCCCCCCCTTCGTTACTTTCGAGCTTAACTTTCACAAGAGCATAACGGTAATCCCTCGCGGAAATAATACATGTCGTCTTCGCGAACGCGCTTCGATGCGACGAGGGATTATAAATTTCGACGTCGCTTTTATCTCGTGGCGCATTCGATCGATGCGATTTCTTTTTGAAGGAAATTTATTCGCGGCGTGTATGGTACGCGTGATGAGCATGAACGAGTGCATCGATTTCCGCTGAAATAGCCGTTGAAACAAGCACCGATTTTGCACAGTGGCGTAACGGGATTAACACGAATATACATACGCGCATACGTGTCAATTGCAGTTAAACTCACGCGAAAAGCGGGGCTTCAACGGCAGCTTTTTTTTTTTCGTTTTGACACTTGTACACGTTCGTCGAGCAATTGCGTGCGCTTCGCTACGCCGATGCCATCGTTCCTTAAAGTTCTCCGGCGACTGATTAATCCCTACGGGGAAATAAAAATTCGCAATACGGTTTTAACACTCATAAATTTAACATATGCATAAATTTAACAAGCGATTCGACAACGTATATATATTTAACAGCTCTTATGGAATTATTAAAAATAATACGCTCCCTTTAAACGTAAGTGGTGAATCTGTAATGACCCACTATCTCTACGTTTTATTCATATCGTCCTTTAATATATAATTCGATACAGTGTAACACATTAATTTCATAGAAATTTCCCTAAGTTCCGCGAACTCCTCGCGCGATTTATGTTCCTGACTTACGCCACTGTCGCGCACACGAGGCTCGTAAGAGGCTGAGAGAGGACTCTAGATATAACTACGAAATTGGACCGAAGCGACCAACCATAAGTTACTTGTAAGGGCGAAAATGATGTAGAAAAGTACGATCGATGTTGCACGAGACGTCCCGCCTCGCTGTCGCGGCGGGCGAGAACGGTCTGCGTGACGCTGCATGTAAATTCTACGTTAAAGCCTGGACCACAATTCGCGACTTGGCGCGTGCAAATAATCCTAATAGCTAAAAACACGTACGTATCGCTAAAACACATAACGCAGTGTCCGGCAAAAATCCACCCCCGACAGGTCGACGCCCGAGCGTTTCAAATGTCTTGGAAACGAATGCCGATACCACCGGGTACTCGATCGTTCGGCGGATTATGCACTTTGTAGTGGATAAAGTACCATTAATCGCGTATCGCGTTTCGACCGTTCGCACTGTTAACGCTAATACCGTTTATCGTTTACCGTTTCCGCGCGTTTATCGCTTATTCGTTTCGCGCCTCGAGTATTAAACAGTCGTACGGCGTGCGCGGCGTTTTTAACGATAATCAGCGTCGAAACGGGCCTGCAATTATCTGTGGAAAATCAACGGGAGGAGAATTGATGAACCGCGCGCGCATACATTTCCGAATTAACCGAAAAATGTCGCGCATATCGATAACGGGTGTCCCACGTGCCCAATCAAGTACAACGGACCCTGCTGTACCTCTGGGGTGGGCGTCCAGTATAAAAATAAATAAACTCTACTCTCTATCCTAGGAAATTCAACGACATCTCAACAGTACGTCTAGTAACATAATTGCTAATCTCGACGATATTACTTACACCTAAGTGAGGACCGAAGTCGGAGGGGGGACCGTAATCTCGGAACAGGATTTGAGCCTTGTCTCGACGGACATTGCAACTCACTCGATACGCACTACACCAAGTCCCCGCTGCCGGCTCGTCCTCGAGTATATAAAGTTACGCCGCGTTCGCGCAATTGTCACGACAAAATATCATCTATCGTTCGATATATCGTTATATATAGATATAGTATTCTATGCGCGTCTATAGTTTGTTGTAATCGTTAGCTTAGGCATCGTAATAGGTTTGTTCCTACGCGAGGATACGAAAAACACATAACACGCTGTACGAACGTAGTACCAACGGAACGAACGAAAGAAATCAGGTCACTGTCTCTCACTAAGTGATTAATGAGCTAATTATTTTAATCGGGAAATGCACGCGATTCTTCGTCGTGCTTTCGGCGAGTCGTTAACTCTAGAATGGTAACGAAATTTTTCTAAAGGCATTTCAAAACGACGCGGACCCACGTGAATTTTTGGCGAGATCTTGATAACGCGTGAAAAGAATTGTTGCATCGTTGAATATATCTTCGGCAACACGATCAAGATAGCTCCAAAAATCCAAGTGTCTTCCATTCTAGCGTTACCACTATCGACATTATCCCTCACGTTCGCGCACACAGGCACGTACACGCATCAATAATACCTGACGCGAACGGCGTTGATGATAATCCAGATATAGTTAATCAACGCAGTGGCTCACACACGACACACGCTATGTACAGGACGCACTGTACTGATCGATTATCTTTACAGACAGCCCTAAATCGCAATTAATCACGATTAAGCAATCAAGAATAGATCGCGGACGGGTCAATGGTATCTATTCTCACAATACACACATACGCATGCACACTTTTTCTCTCTCTTTCTCGTTGTAGTTTTCCCTAATTAAACTTGCACATTCGTTGACGTTTGTACGTTTGTTAGCGAAGAACGCTTATTATATGGTTGCACTGCGCACACGCGTGAACGCGGAGACGAATAATAACGTGTTTGGTATCAAGAATTGTATTTCATTTCAATTCAGCCATTATTTACCGTATCGTAACGTATCATATGTTATTATTTCACGTAAAATATGCGAAGGAAACTTTAGATCGTCGATCACATTAATCGACGCATGGCTCACATTTTTGAATATATCTTGCGCAAAAGAAATAATTATCACCTGTTTAAACTGAAGCCTGACATTTTATATTCATTTAAATTCTCATTTCATTAATTTACCTTCGTCATTTTCAACTTGGTACTCTCGGGATACCGGGATAACGTAACAATGCAGCGGTTTGGTGTTGCATAGCGCTCCGCGATTCGTATCTTTTTTTTTCCTTCTCCGTTGCTCTTTTACTATTCCATTTGCCTCAGCCCAGATACCGTGAAGCCGAGAACGACCGCCGAAATTTCCCCAATGAAAATCGGTGCGCGATTCACTCGCATCGATCGCTACGCAGCGAGGCTAGTGCATCTCGTAATTGCAGGGAGCTAAGACGGATCTCCGCCGCGCATTCTGCATTCAGCGTGCTTTCCCCATCCAAGGCTTTTGTTTACGTCAAATGTAATGCCGTGATATAACCCGGACACATAATATCGCGAGCACAGCGCGGGCACGTTTGCCATTAAACGCGGCGGTGAAAATACGATTCTCGTAAATGTGACGAAGAAGCAAGAAGGAGGTAATCGTTGACATTATCTCGGTAATCGAAATTTGTGTGCAACGTGTTCCTCGCGATATCTGTCGTAGGATAACTTAGCGAGTTTAACTCAATATGATCATATTCATACATTCATATTCCGAATTGGGTCACTTTTACATTCAAATATTCACACGTTCAAACTTGTCCAGAATTTCCTCAGTCACACGTGAGTTTCATATATATGGGCACGTGTCTCTCTGGTCATCATATGATTTATATCCGTAGCTGTCACGTTTGACTGTGACGTATGGTCGTTGTTTTTATGAAACCAGCTGTGATAGCATCGCAGTTTTAAAATATATATATAGACAAAACCTCAATTTAACTATTACACGTCACAATTCCATTGAAACTTTGGCGTTACCTGACGTGATAAGATAATACATTATTTAATTTTGTCAGAACGAAATTACTTCTCATAAAGCGAGAGCAGCAGCGATGTATTCGTCGAAGCGCGCACGATATTTCAAAGCAAGCGAGCCATGCTTTCGATATTAATTGATGCAATCTTAATTAGTTTTCGCTGAAGAATGACAGAATGTAATCGGATAATTATTTTACATTTTCGATCTCCTATATTACCGTTTTTACTTTAGATTATTTTGCTCGGTAATTTCCTGTGCGACAAATAAGGAGCGGCGAGAGCGTATTCTCGTTTTCTAGCGTTCGTTCGATTGAAAATCGAATGGGATTTTCGCTCGTTGAAATAATGGTAAACGAATAAACGACGAGTATGGAAATATCGTGGAAGGCGCGTTCCCAGCGGAGATTTATTTTTACGTTCACGTGCACGCTGACGAGCTGAGCTACAGCCTTAATTACGACACACTCACCGTACGTATTTACTCGTATTTATTTAGTAACAAATTAAGTATGGACCCGTTTTCGTACCAGTCGCAGATGCAAACACAAGAACACGATGTACCTGAAGCGAAAATTAACGGCCATTGAAATACCTTTCGTTCTCATATAGATCGCCTACCGCTGCGTTTGGTCAGATTTTCTTTTCTTTATCGGAGAAATTACTCTTATTCTCGTACGAGTATATCTATATTTACACGCACAACATATGTGTCGTACGAGTAAACGCTGCCGCTTTTTCGTCTGCTTAGAAAGCATTTACTCGTGCGACCCGGTGACTATAGGTACAGTGACTATAGGTACATAAAGAACGAATATTCACGTATGGAATTATGGTTAACGTTCATGGGTCTGACTTTCTATATGAAAACCTGTACAAATTATCCGTCCAAATGGTCAGAACTGAGAACACTTGGTTAAACGAACGTACAAGTGTCCGTATACGTGCAAAAATATGTGTTTCGTCTGTCGCGACATTAGATTTGAGCACGTTCGCGCGTCCGCGGTGAAATTTTCGTTGACGTTAGGGGCACATTTAATGTCTGATCTTTATATGTCTACAATCACTGCTCTCGGTATCTACGTATAACGCAAGATCAGCCCTTGGCGAGACGCCCTTGCGTTCCAGCGCTAGGAACGAAGCTTGTTGACGTGCTGATTTAATTGACGCATTGTTCCTTTCCTCTCCTTCCTTTCTCTCTCGGTCTATTTTTTTCTTCGACGTGTTTTGCATCGAGGCGCGATCGGTCGCGTCGTAATTGCAAAAGGACGACGCCTGGATCGAAGTCCTTTACGCAGGTTGCTCGAGACGCGTGCATAACACGCATCACACGGTACGTCGACAGGACGAGATGTACCATTAGCCTAATTATAAAGCCTCCAAATTTAGTGACGATGCATTTCGTCGCAAGCTGCAACGGCGATCCTGTGCACCGGGTATACCGCGATAAGTCGTAATTTTGGGAGCGGATTGAACCTTAGAATTGACACATTCTGCGCTTTCAACTACTTCGCGATAACTGGGGTAACGGTATATTTACATTCGACAGTATTTTTGCACGCGCACCGCTTCGTTAAATAATTAATAACTCTCGTAACGTCGGAATTTTACGCATGCAGTGCCCGCGAACGGAAGGGATCGCAGGGCGAATCGCAATTTTTACTCAGAAAGCCCGCTGACCTACTTTCGTTCAATTTAATCTGCATTCTGATCGTATCCCATCACTTTTTACATCTTATTCGGGGCAGAGGCTTTCAACTTTGACTCATCCTGTTATTCTGTTCGTCTATCATTCCTACGAAATCAGTACGATCGGTACAATATCTTTCCCTGAATCCTCGTTCTTATTCTTTCGTTATCTTTTTTTTTCCTTTACGAGGAATAGTCGAAAAACATTCTCTTAAAAAAAATGGTGGTTAATTGTCGGATCTAGAGAGAAGCGTCGGACCATTTGAGGCATTTCAACCGAGGTAAAGTTTCAGCGAGAACATTCGCGGCATATCATTAATTGGTTCGTTAATTTTTGTCCCGTTAATTGCGCTATTCCTCGAACGATAACGCGAGAATCATACTATTTACACTTGTTATCCGATAAAATCGAAGAGCGAGACGGGAACGGCAACGATCTGTGAGGGCAACGTCACGCTCAGTACAAACGTTTGTAAAAAAGTAGTACGCGTGTGCGAGTCTGTGTATCTGTGCGGTATGTGTGTAGAAACCTATTCGTAACAATTGCCTTCTGTAGTTGGAAAGTTTCACTCGCGAAGAGTACGTTAATTAGTCGATCGCGTTAAGATTGGCGTACCAGTCGATAGTACGCGGCTAGCAACTCCGAGATGCGTTTAGTTTCTTTTGAGAGTCGACGCGTTCTTTTTTATCCCGGCACATCGCAAATATTCGACAAACTATTCGAAACGAGAGCCACAAGAAGCAATTCGAACGCCGTAACGATTGGAACGAATAGAGAAGCGAGAAGTCGCGTTATAAATTTTTCGTACAAAATGCAAAGACTGAACGTCCGTCATTTGAATGATCTACATTTCTCTGGAAAACAAAGGTTGATTTGAAGAGCCGTGGCTTTTACCATTTGGCTTAGGGAGGGACAGAAAACGAGCGATAAAAAAAGATGGCATGTCCCCTTCAATTTACGTCTTCTACTTCGTGTTAGAGCATCCTTAATCAGATCCACTTACCTTCGGCTGACGCTCGACATTATCGGGAGATAACAGAAAACGATTGAGAAAACTTTAATACGCTTACGAAGTGCGGCTGTGTATTTTCGCGGGCGAGCAATAAATTCTTCGTCGCACGCGAAATTTCGCACGGGTATTATCTTCACGGCGAAGAAGATCGAATTGGGTCCGGGACAAATAGTCTCGGTATCACTTCCGTCACTAAGCGAACAGAGGAACTCGGTTGTCGCAGTCAGTTGCCGTAACTATTTTCGCCAGACTTGATTCGATGAAGCGGATTTGCGCGTTGTGTCGGCCGGCAGAAGCACACCGTCTTCGACGTCGTCGACGCCGCTCGATAAGTCGATACCTGGTTTCAGTCTTCCCCCGTGTGTCGGTTCTTCGCTCCGTGCGATTCTTCGCTTCTTCGGACGTCCGAAGTAATAATGCGGAATTCCGCGGAATCACAAGTTCTTCTCTCGTTTGGGTGAACCACAACTTTACGCGAGGCATTACGTCTTCGTAAAACTGTAGTCGTAGGATTTCCGCGAATTTTCCTCAACTTCGTGCAGCCTTCGAACATGGTTCGTCGAGTTTGTTACGCGTCGAGTTTGTCGCGGGGGCGTATCTACGTGGGAATTAACGAAGCTCGAGATCTCCAATTGTCAACAAGTCTTGTAAGAATAAATTTATTTGGAAATATTCATTGGTCAAAGTTTCCATAGTTATTCGTGGCGTGAAACAAGTAGGAATAGACTTTGCTAACTTATTTGTATTCTCGCTGGAAGTTACATAATAAAAATCAGAGAGGAAATCAATAAGGCTCTTACGTTGCCGGGTGAATTAAAATAATCGGAAGATCGATGATTACAGATCTGGGCAATTATTCACACCGAATCGATATTAAAACTGCGCTGTGGATTCCTTGGCAAATATTTCCCGGGGAAAAGAAGACGTATTGCTTGGCCGTTCTAATTCAATTAAGTCATGTACGTGCTTCGAAATTCAATTTCTACGTTTAATTGGCGCGTAAAAAGACGGACGAGTGGTATTTGCGACGAGAGCGACGAATCGGAGATCCTTGTTTCGATACGGAGTGGAGGTCTACGTATCGATTCCTTCGCAGCCGGGACGCGACTTAAATCGATACCACGACGCTTTAGGGACGAAATCCTTCGGAAAATATTCTCTGTCTCCGCGAAGACGTGCTCCAATCCAGTATCATTCTTACAAGCATTCCTCGGGTAATCTTCTTTCGCCGTTTGAAACTTTCATACCGTTTCCTTTCGCCGCTGCGGATTTTCTTTATCGCGTATCCGAATCCGGTTAAATCCACCATGAAATTATGTTAACTCTCTCACATGCATATTTGCGCGCGAGATTGAAAACAACAAGAGCGCGGGAGTGCCAATATTTTAATTTACATCTTGAAAGGATTGTGTTGCTGGAAATGATCCGTTTTCGCCGTGTGCGCACATTTAACGTTGCTTAATTAAATATTACCGCAGGATTCACTTCTCCCTCATACGCCACCGAATTAATTGGGATAAGCGAGTCACGGTTACACGCTTTCGTTCCATTGTGCTCGCTTCATCCGCCGTGAGGTAATTCCTTCGCGATCGATCTGGATCCTCGCTGATATATCTCCGTCGTGTGGAGATTTCCCCGTTCGCGGAAAATACAAAGATTCCATCCCGGGATCTTGCACGTGTCGGGAGTCGAGACCTCGATTATTCACGAAAGCGATATACCCTCGTCGACCTTCGACGGCGTTTTCCTTTCGCGACCTCGTTATCCGTTTCCCTTCGCCGTCCCCTTTCATCTCGCAAATCCTACCCCCGCGGCCAGCGTCGTCCTCGTTAACGCGGGGCAAGTTTTCGAGATTACGAGTCTCACTCTCCTGCCGGCAGTCCGTCTCCGGAGTCCTTCCGCTCCTCTCCCGTTCCTTTACGTCGCGGCATCGTTTATTCATCACAGCTCGATGATATCCGGCGCGCGAAACTGCACTTTGCTGCAATACTTGACCTCCTGCACGATCTTATTGCCACAATTGTCCAGATCGACATCACTCCGCGTGCCGTCGTCGTAATCGTCATCCTCCTCCTCCTGCAGATCCTCCAGAAACTTGCGTCTGTCTAAGCTCCAACTGCCTGCTCCGGCCGCCGACTTGTTTCTCATCTTACGAATTTTATTCTGGCGAACGGATCGCCGTGGTTATTTGTATCTGAAAGTCGAGCAAAACGAGTGCGCTTTGGAGCGTGAGTATGCTCTTATCGATCGTGGGTTCGTTGCCTCACGTATAAGCTTCATTTTATCTTATTTTACCCTTTGTGTGCGGGGTTTGAGATAGATCGAATAAAAGATGCTGTGCCGAAATCGTACCGGTTCAGGAAACGTCATTTTGCGTTAGCGATTATTGCATCCGATTGTTCCAATAATTTGCCATTTTTTTTGTGTGCGAAATACGAGCGAATTGCGATGTGGATATTTGTGCAGAGTCAAGCGTTTTACGCATCTCTCGCGTAAGCGCCGCGAATTCTCTAATCACGTCGTTATTATACATTGGGCACGCAACGCGAGCTGTGAGCGATATTCACATTTCGCCGACGATAGGAACATGATCAGTGTGCGTTTATATGATCCTCACGTTACACGACCCTTGCTACTCAGCTCTCCAAATGTATCGAATGTTGTAACACACGCAGATTGAAACGCGGTGCCGTCGGGACAAAATATTTTTCATCGTCGGGTTCGCCGTCGTAAAGTAGTCTCCATTGTTAATTCTACGAGAATCAGGTCAACACCGCGCGTTATTTTCATTATGAGTAACGTTTCTATATTTCACCAAGATTTCGTACAGCATCTATATTACATCTATCATTTCAAATTTTGAAAAAGATTAGTTTCTATTGGAAAATATTGTCGCTTATAGCTGCATATGGACAGAAATTGAAAGTTATACGAAACTTATACGTACGGATAATACATTTTATTTCTTTATTAAAAGCCACGTGTAAGTTTAATATTCACAAAAACTTGCACGTAATGGATAATTGAGGGATGTTTTCGTACAAATGATTACTAAGCACTTTCATAAATTTTATGCACGTTCCAAAGTTATATCTCGTTAGAGTGACTCGAGTAACTTGTTTTGTTCTATTGCGACTAATGCAATTGATCTTTTTTTCTTTTCGTCGTTTGTCTGAAATTGTACTTGGACAAATTGATCACTTCAAGTTTCCAAAACTCGACTTACCTTTCTGGTAAAGGGCATTCCAAAATTCTGCAGAAAGCCAAGCCGACCGCCACTATTAATATTACAAATAAAACCGCGTACGATACGCACAGATGAACCAAAGAAAAAATATAGAGCGTCTTGTGACACCACCTATTGGGCGCGTACAACGAAAGTTCGTATTCTGGCCACATTATATGCAGTATCCAGTAATGTCCTAAAACAAAAATGCAAACAAACAACAATGATTATGGAAATTCATTATCCGACTTGAAATCTAAGCGATGAAGAAGGGAGCATCACGTAGAATGTTGTTGAGTTACCAACTTATTTCATTATTCAGTTCTACCGAAAGACTTTTCCGAAACCTGTACAGAAAAATTTTCCTCCCTTTTGTTCACTCGAATTGCGGTTCGTTCTTGTGTTAGGTCTAACACATTTTTCGAAGTAACAACAACTTATGTACGTATACAGGGTGTACCGCAACTCGTGACCGAAATTTTAATAGCGTATTTCTGAGCAAAAAGTAAGACGAAAATCCTAATACGAAAATGTCGAGGCTATAATACTTTTCAAATGGGAAGCATTTATAATAGACAAATCAGGTAGTCTAAAGTTCGCGCGTTCAGGGACGGTACATTGCACAGTGATAAAGGTACTCTTGCATCTTTGCCGATATACCTCAAAAAAGTTTAGTAATTATATGTACAATAATGCTGATGTTATTGATTGAGTCATATTTAAACATGAAAAAATAAAAAAAATAAATTAAAAATAATAAATATGAGAAGTTGTCCACATGAGAAGTTGTC